CCATGTAGTAGGATACACTGTCACAATTAGTAATGATCTACACAAAGTTCTTAATGAAGTGGATCACTGCTTATATCAGAATCAGGGAGAAAATCAGAAGTGTTAAGAATTATTTCAACTGGCCAAACACAGTGGCTCACACCTGCCATCCCAGCACTTTGGGAGGCCGAGATGGGTGGATCACGAGGTCAGGAGATCGAGACCATTTTGGCCAACATGGTGAAACCCCGTCTCTAGTAAAAATACAAAAATTAGCTGGGTGTGGTGGCGCATGCCTGTAATCCCAGCTACTCGGGAGGCAGAGGCATGAGAATAGCTTGAACCCAGGAGGCAGAGGTTGCAGTGAGCCAAGATCATGCCACTACACTCCAGCCTGGCAACAGAGTGAGACTCCATCTTAAAAAAAAAAAAAAAAAAAAAAAAAAAAAGAATTATTTCAACTTTGCTTTAACACATAGGAAAGGGAGAATATGGAAGGAAATGGACCAAAACATTGTCTCCAATGGAGGGACTGGGGTAACTGTAATTTTCTTCTTTAAACTTTTCTGTCTTTCCCCCCCTTTTTTTTTTTAGACAGAGAGTTTCACTCTTGTCACCCAGGCTGGAGTGCAGTGGCACCATCTCAGCTCACTGCAACCTCCGCCTCCCAGGTCCAAGCTATTCTCCTGCCTCAGCCTCCCAAGTAACTGGGATTACATGCACCCACCACCACACCTGGGTAATTTTTTGTATTTTTAGTAGAGACAGGGTTTTGCCATGTTGGCCAGGCTGGTCTTGAACTCCAGACCTCAGGTGATCCACCTGCCTCAGCCTCCCAAAGTGCTGAGATTACAAGCATGAGACACCATACCCGGCCTTTCCCATTTTTTTAATAGTAGGCATCTATAATTTTTTTTTTTTTTTTTTTTTGAGATGGAGCCTCACTTGGTCACCCAGGATGGAGTGCAGTGGAGCGATCTTGGCTCACTGCAAGCTCCGCCTCCCGTTTCATGCCATTCTCCTGCCTCAGCCTCCTGAGTAGCTGGGACTACAGGTGCCCGCCAATACGCCCGACTAATTTTTTTGTATTTTTAGTAGAGATGGGGTTTCACCGTGTTAGCCAGGATAGTCTCGATCTCCCGACTTCATGATCTGCCCGTCTCGGCCTCCCAAAGTGCTGAGATTACAGGCGTGAGCCACCGCACCCATCCTATCTTTTATGATAAAAAGGAAAGTAGTATTTTATGTAAGACAAAGCAGACTCTGAGCGTGTTAATATAACTGTGTCCTGAACAGATAGATACTCATTCTGATGTCTGAGTGATCGGATTAGGGCTATCTTCAGAAGAAAGTCAGCTTTGGGGTCTGACTGCGTTCAAAAGTCGACTGCCGCTCCCTAGCTCTGACTTTGGGCAGCTTGTTTGACCTCTCTGCACCCCCACTTGGTTCCCATGTGGAGATGCTAGTGTCCCTGACTGACGGCGTGGTTAAGATGAGAGGCTCTGGCACCTGGCGATGGTTTGGCTTCCTTCCTCATCCGCGCTTCCCGTCCCCACCCCCAGTTTGAGTGTTTCTTGCCTTTCTTCATTCCCCTGGTTGCCTTGATCCTTTGGGGGACTGGGCACTGTCCGGCGAGCTGGGCTCCAATTCTTTCGTTGGGAACAGTGAGCTTCAGGAAGGCCCTTGAGTCCACGCCAGCCCTTTTAGAAGAGGCCTTGCCACCAGGAGGGCAGCATTGTCCTTCAAGAGGAAACTCTGCCGCCCCAGCTCCTGCCTGGAGCCTGGTGCTTGGGGCATTTTGGTTACTAAGGGGACCCTGGCCTGCTAAGTTAGAAAAAGGGGCCAGGTTTTTTCCTATTCTTCAGCCTACTGCCATTGTTGAAAAAGTAAACACTCCACACAGCTTAACCGGCAAGTCCTCCAGCCAGGAGTGGGAAGAAATCAAAAGCCTATTCCAGCCCAGCGGTGGAGAGCCTACAAGGGCTGGTCTGTGCTGCTGGGGCCCAGTGGCAACGCAGAAACAAGGCCTGATTCTGGTCCAGAATCAACATCCCATTCACGGGGCCTTTCAGCCCTGGAGGCTTCTCTCCAATGGCCATCATCTCCTGCTGCCTTCTGTTTGGGGCTGTTTGGAAGGTCAGAGGAGGCAAAGTAGTTGATTCTGGGGTGCACAGCCCTCTGCTCTGTCCTGGAGGTGGGCGCGTCCTTCAGGATGTTATGAGTCCTTCTCTGATTCTGTTTCCTGTGACTGTGGGCAGCCTTTGAAGTGAGAGACCAAGCAAGAAGGGGCCCCAAGGATTTTTGCCCTCAGGCCATTGCCACTACAGCCTTCCAGACTGACTGTGGCTATTGTGTGTATTATAAAAGTAGTAATAATAGCCACTATTTATTACATCCTACTGTGTGGCCAGCATTATGGGTGTGTTTGCTCTCATCACAGCAGCCCTGGGGGAAGTGAGAGAAGTAGGGTGGCCACAGTTAGCATTTTAATTTTACAGACAAAGCCAATTAGTAGACACATCACCTTGGGCAAGCTACTTCTTGGAGCCTCAGTTACTCATCTATGAAATGGGGATAATGATATCTCACCTCCAGCCCCATGGATGGAATGAAAGCATCTGTGTGGCAGTGCTCTGTGAGCCTGAGGTGTGACATCAGTGAAAAGGAGGGCTGTTGATGCTATTTTGCTACCTTCCTGCTAGCACACTGCTGGGCATTTGGCCTGTTGGGTTGCAGAGTGAGGCAGCTAGGGAGTCCTGGACAATCCCCTGTGAATCTCAGCGTTCTTCTGTGTAAAATGGAGATTATGCTTCAAATAACAAAAGCGCTGTAAAATACGAACTTGTTTTTCGTATCATTAGGTTGGTGCAAAAGTAATTACGCTCTGCCGTTACTTTGGTAAAAACTGCAATTACTTTTGTACCAACCTAATATGATCAAAGTTCTCCATTCGCTGATATCTTTTTACCCTATAAATAAGGCAGCAGGTAATAATGGGTGTTGGGGTTTGGAGGAAAGAATAAACTCCTGCATCAGCAATTGTGTCCCTCCTCTGTGGTTCTCAGCCCATAGTAAGCACTTAGAAATTGATGGATAGGTTTGTGGATGAGCCCCAGAGGCCTGGAGAAGTTAGTGGATAGCAGGAGTTGGAGGCTCTGATGGTGTTAAGTGAAAAGGTTCCAGGATTCTGCTGCCTGGGAGTGTTTTTTCAACCCTACGAGGCTTGTGACCAGCGTGGCTCCACCCTCCTGCTGGGAAGAATCTTGAAATGTTTACTTAGGTACCATGTTCTGCCCTAGAGGCTGGAATTTAAGAGAGTGAATGTCAGCCATATTAATGTGCACTTACCAGGTGTCAGTCATGTTGTCAGGGGCTGATTATTTTGCAGTGGTGAGCCACAGATGAGCCCCTGAAGGAGCCCACACCCCAACAGGGGAGGCAGAGAGGTGCTGGGGCTCAGAGTGACAAGGGCTATGTGGAGGTCAGTCTCCCTGTGGGTGTCTGACGATGAGGAGGTGGATGGTGCAGTGCAGAGAGCATGGCCTGGGGAGGCAGCCGAGCCTGTGGTTTCTTCTGCCTCTTAACCTCAGCGCGCTGAACTTCATCTTCCTCAAATTTCGAACATTGAGGGCAATAACATCCACTTTACAGGGGTTGGTAAGAATTAAATGAAATAAGGTGAGTGAAGCACAGAGCAAGAGCTAGGAAGCTTCTAGTATATGCTACTTGTCCATTTCCAGGGCATTGGAAACTGGAGCTTGAGCAGCCATTGGATGTCTGCCTCCATTGCCAGCCTACACCGTGTTCTGGGGTGAATTAGGAAAAGGCATCTGCCCCCTTTCCCCGACTGGTGCCACTCAGCAGGCACGTGGGTTGGCAGATTTCAGCCCTAGCTTAGGTGGTTGGCATCTGAGGAGTGCTTACCTGCACAGCCATGTGCAGCATGCTCAGAGGTTGACCAGTAATGGAATTGATCCTTTATATGCAGTGACCACAGGTCCCATCGTGTGCCTGTTGCCCTGGTGTAAGATGAGGTCTTTCACATCCAAATGTATCCCAGTTTAGACAGCAAATGATAGGATCTTTCTATGCAAAATAAAATAAAGACAATAGTTCTAAAGCCTCTGACTCAAAAGGAATGTGCTTGATATGTAATGGGGAGGGAGGATTGAATGGGACCAGGAGTGGCGGGTAGGCAGGAGAAACACAAAGATGGATTCTTAGTAGTGGATAAGTAGTGTGATTAAAAATTTGAAACTCAGGCTACACCCTGTCTTGGACTCACACAGGCTATGGGGAATTGCTGCCAGATTGCGGGGAGGATTCTTTTTTTCTCCATATTGTCCGTTCATCCCTTCTCCTGTCACCAATCATGAAAACCTTGTAGGCATGAGTTTCCCTCATCTTTTCTATTACTGTGCCAATAGAATAATGGCTTATGGCCAGAGCTTCTGAGCCATTACTAGCTGGATATCTGTGGAAAATTGAACCAAATTGAAAGTATGACCTTCCTACTTGGCATTTAAGGGAAGTGTTAACAGTAGGCCACACACAATATTCCATACCCAAGAATGACAGGATCCAAAAGAGAGATGGGCAAGTAGCCTTTGTTAAATTAGGGGGCTGGATTGAATGGGGATATCACGATAACATAGCCATATATCAGCATTCCTGGGGCCAGAGCTTTTGACCTCAGCGTCTGTTAAATGTATAGGGGAAAAATGATGATGGGATGTAATGATCCCTCTTACTTTCTGGCTGTGTGACCTGGGGCATGTTACTGAGCCTCTGTGAACCCTTTTCACTCCTGGTACTTGGGGATAATCATGCAAGCTCACAGAGATTTTATGAGAGTTCAGTGAGCTAACAAATGTGAACCTCCTACCATTGGGCCTGCTGCAGAGTAAGACTTTGGCAAATGTCACTTTTCTTCTCTGTGCCTCTTCCCCAGAGAAGGCAGGGGAAGTGTGTCTTGATGGCACCTCAATGACCTTCTCTTCTGGATTTTTTTCTCCTTGCAGAAAGTCAGAAACATGGCCCTGGATGATGTCGTGATCCTGAATGTGGACACCAACACCCTGGAAACCCCCTTCGATGACCTCCAGAGCCTCCCAAACGATGTGGTAGGTATCTGAGCTCACGAGGATCTAACTTCTGTGAGCTCCTGCAAAGAAATGAATGTGACTTTGGGACATGGGGAAGGAGAGGAAATAGCCAAGGTTTTCCTGTGACCTGAGAACTGCAGTTTGTTTCTCCATTGAAACCTTTGTCTCAGTGTAGAAAGTTAGAAGGTGACCAGGCGCGGGGGCTCACACCTGTAATCCCAGCACTTTGGGAGGCCGAGGCGGGTGGATCACTTGAGGTCAGGAGTTCAAGACCAGCCTGGTCAACATGGTGAAACCCCGTCTCTACTAAAAATACAAAAATTAGCCAGGCATGGTGGCGCATGCCTATAATCCCAGCTACTCGGGAGGCTGAGGCAGGAGAATCACTTGAACCCGGGAGGTGGAGCTTGCATTGAGCTGAGATTGTGCCACTGCACTCCAGCCTGGGTGACAGAGTGAGACTGACTCCGTCTCGAAAAAAAAAGATAGAAAGTTAGGGCCCACGCCTGTAATCCCAGCACTTTGGGAGGCCGATGTGGTGGATCATGAGTTCAGGAGAGCGAGACCATCCTGGCTAACATGGTGAAACCCCGTCTCTACTAAAAATACAAAAAATTAGCTGGGCGTGGTGGCACGTGCCTGTAGTCCCAACTACTCAGGAGGCTGAGGCAGGAGAATTGCTTGAACCTGGGAGGTGGAGGTTGCAGTGAGCTGAGATCGCTCCACTGCCCTCCAGTCTCGGTGACAGAGCAAGACTCCATCTCAAAAAAAAAAAGAAAGAAAGTTATAAGGTGGTTTACTTTTTGAGTCTATTTCGCTCTTGAACTTTTATAAGAAAGACTGTGAAGCGACCTTAGTGTCTAGACCTCTCCTCTGAGGGTCTCGCCACCTCTCCCCAGCACATTGCCACCTCTAGAGATCAGGACAGCTCCCTCCAAGTAACACCACAGAAGGCAGCTGGCGGGGTTTTCAGTGTGAACAATTTGGGGTACTTCAAACCTACATTTTTTTCCTAGACCATCATCAAATAGCCTTTTCCCTGCATAGTAGAGTATCAGGTGCCAGTGCTCTCAGTGTAGCTGTGCACCCTCTGCGTCACACTTTGTTGCCTCAGGTCTACACAGAATGTGGGTTCTATTGAGCAAAAAGTAATTGGCTGCCACGTTTGCCACACTAACATCTGCCTATATACCCGTCTCCTGTTGCTACTTGGTGCAGCCCTGTAGGCAGCTGTGTGAGGTAGACCCATTCTCCCCTTGTCCATGCTGGTGAGGATTGGGCCTCACCAGCAAGCATGGTTTTATCGTTTCTGCTTTGACCTCCGTAGCTCTGCCTGCAAGAAGATCTGTAGAATTATCCTGACTTCCAGAGTGAAAGGGGTTGTTGTTCCTGGCCATGTGGTGCTCATATGTGTCCTGGTCGGGGGAGTGTTTTACCTGGTGGGCATTGATGCACCATCACTGCCAGGAGCCCCAGTGGCACCCTGTGGGTAGCTGTCTGAAAGGGTTGCTGTTTGTTGATGAATGTCTTGCAGGATAATTTCTTTCCTTTTTTTTTTTTTTTTTTTTTTTTTGAAACAGCATCTGGCTCTGTCACCCAGGCTGGAGTGCGGTGCGCTATCTTAGCTCACTGCAGCCTCTGCCTCGTGGGCTCAATCAATCCTCCTACCTCATTCTCCCAAGTAGCTGGGACTATAGGCACATGCCATCATGCCCAGCTACTTTTTGTAGAGACAGAGTCTTGCTGTGTTTCCCAGGCTGGTCTCATACTCCTGAGCTCAAGCAATCTGCCCATCTCAGCCTCCCAAACTGCTGGGATTACAAGCATGAGCCACTGTGCCCAGCCATAACATTATTTCAAACTTCTCTACACCTAACTCACTGTGAGATTTTGGGGGAGTCATTTGTGCCCTACAGCAGTGCTCCACTTATAATTCAGCAGTGGCTGCCATTCACTGGCTTATTGCACTGAGCTCCCATCATTGACCTCTCATTGACTCTTCATGCCACTCTGAGGATGGTCTTTTCCTTACTCCTGCTTGACCCATAGAGCTAGAGAGAGGTGGAGCCAAGGTGTGAACTCAACCCTGTGGGTCTACAGAGCCCATGTGGCCCCTTTGCCCTACTAGGTGTCTTCTGCATTTAGGATGTCATTCATCCTGAATGACAGTATTGTAGCCCTGTGGAACAGGTGATCTCTCCCTTCTACAGAGAGGAGAGAACCTCAGAGAGCATGTGCCTTGCCTTAAATCCTGTAGGTGATTAGGGGCACGGCTGAGATTGGACCCCCAGTCTGTGCTGCCTCTACTCTGTGTATCCCGCCTCCCTCTGAGGCAGCAAGAGACGACAGAACTTAGGAAAAATTAAAGTGTGAGACAGGCAGGAGGACCTATAAGGTGTGAGAATCATGTCAGGACAGAGTATATGGTTGGTACCCTAGGGCCTACTAGCTATAATTTGAGTTCTTTTGGTCCAAGGAATGTGAGGCTCCCATCCCTGTTTCCCTTCAGTGGACGAGCACCTCTTGAAGCCATGGATATCTTAGGCATGGACCTGGCAACTGCCTAGTGAATGTGGGAAGTGAACCTGAGGTCTGTCAGGTGCAGGAAATGGCCAAGGGCCCTGTGGCAGCATGAGATGAGTGACTGGCAGCTCAGAAACCATGGAGTGGACTGACTGGTCCCACCTGCACTGCTCTGACCCTGTGCTGGCACTGAGCAGCAAAGAGAAAGCAGATCTTCAAAGACTGTATGTCAGTAAGGGAAACAGATATGTCAATTACATATCCATTACAGTGTAGCATAATAGGGACCACAGGGAAATAGGAATCGGGCACAGAAGGGCCCAGGAGACAGAGTAACAAAATTTTGGGGAGGATAATGGAGTCTTTCTGAAGATGGCAAATTCCAAGATGCCTTTTAAATGACAAGTAAGGTAGCCTCGGGGAATCAAAGTAACTTGGGTGAGTTATTTTCCCTCTTTGAGCCTCAGTTTTCCACATTAAAAGAGGAGTACCAGGCCTGCTCTCAGGATTATTATGGCAAACAGTTATGGTAATGATTATCAAATGCCTGGCACAGTGCTTGCATGTTGTCGGTGTTCAAGAAATGGTACCTGCATTTGTTTTTAATAAAATTGTTGCTGATAATTACAGGCAAGGTTGGAGGACAGTTAATAACCTCCATGTCCTGACAGTCTCAGCCTGCACAAATGGGACCTCCTCTATGCAAGCTGGTTTGTAACAGGGTTGAGAATGTTCTGCAGCAGTGGTTTCCAGCTTGGGCCTCTCATTAAGGATTCTGAAGATTGTAATGGGGGGGATGTGGTCTGTAAGGTATTTATTGTATTTCAGTGGAATTCACAGCTTTGATTCTGTGATGCTACATGAGCTATCAAGAGGAGAAATCATGCCCTGCCTGTCTTTGTGTCCCCTGCATTTAGCATAGGACCTGGTAATTTTAGTGTATCAGCCTATCCATCATTGACCTTAAAGTCTCCCGTTTTGCCAAAGCTGTGTGTTTACTCTGACAGATTCTGCTTCTTAAGCATTTGGTAAATCCACATCCTCTTCCTCATCCCTCCTAAACACCACCTAATCTAAGCTTTTATTTTCCTCCTGCATTATTAGCAGCAGACTCAAGACTGGTTCATTGACTCCAGCCTCATCCCTCCAATCTTTCCTCCTCATGCCCCAGGGTGACCTTTCTAAAAACATAAACTCCATTTCCCACCTACCTAAAACTATTCCATCAGTGAATGTAATTTTTCAAAAAAACATTTAAGGACAAAAAAATTCTCCTATAACTTCCCGTTACCTAGAGATTCAAGGCAACTTCCCTTTGTTGGCTTTGAAATCAAACAGACCTGTTTTCACATCCTGACTTCCTCACTTCATGTCCATGTGATCTTGGGCAAAATTACTTCAGCTCTCTAAGCCTTAATTTCCATATAAGGTTGTTTGAGAATTAAATGTAATATATATAATATATTTAAAACATCTATCAGCACAATCGACAGTAGCTGATGATGATGAATTACGGATGTGAATTATGATCAGCATGGCATTCAGGCCTCCTTCATGATATCCCCCTGTTTTTGTTTTTCCATAGCTGTGTTTCTCTCCCCTCCCTGCTTTAAACTCTGTACTGCAGGTTTTTAGAACTGTTAACGGTTGTCCCAAATTTACATGTTGTTTCATAACTTCATACTTTGTGTACAGCATTTCTTTTGTCCCAATGTCTTACCTCATCTATTAATCTCTTACTCTTCAAGACCTGCTCTCAAGTATTTAATCACACACACACACACACACACACACACACACACACACACACACACACACACACACGTACACACACAGAATCTTTTCTGACCTTCACATAGATTTGACCATATCTTTCTCTGTCCCCACAGCCCCTGTGTACCTTGTTTAAGTGTACTGATTTATTACCCATTTCCCTTTTACTTGTGAGTTTTTTGGGGGAGCAGTAATTGAGTTTTATTCATCTTTGTTTTCCAAGGATCTAGCAGCCACTGAATAGATAGATGGAAGGATAGAAGGCACATATGGATTGGGTTATTATGATAGATGAAATATTGTAAAACATGGCATCTATGCTGGAAATTTTATTAAAAGGGGCTTTGGGCCAGACATAGTGGCTCACGCCTATAATCCCAGCATTTTGGGAGTCTGAGGCAGAAGGATTGCTTGAGGCCAAGAATTCAAGTTTGCAGTGAGCTGTGATTGCACCACTGCTCTCCAGCCATTATAGAATAATTGGAACTGGATTAATCCTCCCACAATTAACAATTAAAACTCTGGGCAAATATGAAAACAGCTGTTTTCACATGTTGGACAGCAGACAAGACAAGATTGTTATCCCTGAGTGAAAGGAAGCCAGTGAGGTGAGGCCTACTATCCCACTGGCTTTCTGCCTTGAGGCATTTTGTGGATACTGGTACTAGAAGGGGAATCCCCAGCAAAGCACAACAGTCGTGGGGAGCTGAAAGGTTAAAGAA